CAGGGTGGAAAAATGGAACGCTTATCGAAGATGAAAATCGATCACGCGTTGATAAGTACACCGCGTATCGAGTCGCGTTGAATTTCGATTGTAGGTATCACGATTTTCGCGGAAACAACGCGTGGAATAAACGAAGAAACCGCCAGTTCACACTCACGTCTACGGAGTAGATGTTCATGCTGTCCGTGCGCGACGACGACTGCACTCCGTACGACGAAGCAGAGGCCGATCGACAGCGCAAGACCTCCCATCGTCGGACGATTCACCAAGCCCGCCATCTTTCTCCTTCGGCACGAGCTCGCTGCTTTTTCGCACCTTCCTCTTTCTTTTCTATCCTCCCGTTCTTTTGCGATCCACAGCCACGAAACTCGCAAACACGATTCTCCTTATGTTTCTCCCAGTCTAACAAAGATCACTCCTATATTTCACGGCTTGCTTTATCTAATCGTGCGCGTTGATAAGTTCACCATGAAAGTACCAAACGAGAACGAGTCATTCGTTCGTACGTGTGTCATCGCAAACTTTAGACACCTGATTAATACCACCGCGACGATCACACGAGAATGTCGACGGAAACGTCAGCTCCAGCGATCGTCATCGATGTTTCAGATAGCCCGAACGGTTAACGCTCGCGCATTCCTTCGTTCAATTATTATTCTTACCGTCGAAAGATTGACGAATTTATTGACCAAGCGTTATAAACTGTGTACTCGATAGATAACTCTTCGTCGCGATACGTCGGATAGAGGTACGTATAACAGGATACTCTGGCTTATCGATGAATTCTTTATTTTAAGAAGATAATAACAACGATCGTAATAACAGGAGAAAAATAACGAGCATTCGGTGCTCTGCGTGTATAACGGCATCGAAAATAGAAGATACGAAATATAAATGGAACACGTAATTCGCGTAGCGTGGTTTAAAAAAATATAACGCTATTTCCTCGCAACGGAAAGATAAAGAAAATAAAAAGCTGTCTCTAATTTAAATAAAATTGAACGTTTAATCGTTGAATATTCGCCTATCTAGCTACAAATACTCGGTGAGAAAGTCTGTTGTAAAAGAAATAATACACTCTGATAAATAAAAAAAAGTCAGGTGAGATCGTTATGAGATTCTAAAGGATCACGATGATCGTAATACTTTGCGTAGGATTATCGTAGAATATTTTGCATCTCGCATCGCGAACCGTTCTCGGATCGATGTTAACGTCAACTCTCGGGTACCTTTGCGCGATCATGGAGGTAGAATTGGAACGGATTCGCGGTGCAAACGGCGGGATATAGGATGATCGTTTAGTTTCTTTAGCTGTTATCGAACATGTCCGTTTCTTTGGCATTGGAACGGTTGGTAAGATAGAAGCTCGCTGCGGGAGCGAGTCGCAATAGCGCGCTTTGAACGCGTTAATTGCATGCACGCCGCAGGAAGTCTTTAAACGGTTCGGTACACCCGGCCTATTCTCTCGATGCAGTCGACGCGTAACCCTGTGCAGTCGCGGCGACATCCGACGCCACACTCTTCTGCTACTTTTTTCGCTTTCCGCGCTGAATCTCGCGTCGTGTTTCAGCCGTATCATCGAGGAGACCGCAGGCTAAAACTGCTCGTACATACGTTGTTCGTTGATCGAGATGAACGTTTGCCAGCAACGTTTCCTAAATTGTTGCGTCGCTTTCAGGCGTGGTTAATTTTGCCTAGAAAACGCGACACAGGCGATCGTCGCGAGGATAACGAGTAGCACGGGTACAGGAAAACGCGAACCTGGAAAATACGACGATAATGAAAAAGACGCGAGTCCTCTCGAAACACGCTCGTTTTCTTCTCCTTTACCTTCGTTTACGCATCTGTCCTCTTCTCTGGCGTAATTTTCGGCGCATACGCAGATATTCTCTTCGCACGCCAGTGCTTTCTCTGTCACGTTTTCCTTTTCCACTTGATAACACTCGTACTTGTTTCCGCAATTTTCACCGAAACCTGCAAAATCGTACAATCGTGTTAGAAAAGGCTGGTGAGAAAGAAACGCAGAGTACGTACTTTTGTCGATGAAACATCGTCTCATCTCGGGTTCAAAGTGGTACCGATTATGGCACTGGCACGTGCGATCGATGCATAACGCGTTCGGAAAGCTCATGGTGCACTGTATATCTTCCACGCAGCTGTCCAGAATTTCGGACGCGACCGATAAACATTCTTTTCTTTCCCCATTGATCACGGTTTTCTCCGCGCAATCGCAAACGCCTTCGTCGGTGCAAATAGCACCGTGCACGTGAGCGCATTCCTCCGATTGGCTACACCGCTCTCCGATACCTGAAGATACGCGTCACGAAATTACGTTATTGCCACTAGTTCCTCGATTTACCAAAGATAATCAAGCGTTTCTTTCTTTTTTGTACCGATCATTCTGTAACAAGCGTTTCGCGTGTGATGGTATCCGGGCATGCAGCTACACTGGCCATTTTGACACGTGGTGTTGGATAGAAATCCCAAACATTGCTTGTCTTCCACGCACGGGAAATCCAACGCTTCGGCTTCTAAACGTGCGACAAAAACGAACCAACGATTAACGAATCGTCGTTTCACGAGTTAAAATTCCAGTACAGCTGGATATCCTTACTTTTAAGACACGCTCTCTTGTTACTTGACAAAATGTAATGTTCTTGACAGGCGCAGTGTCCCACCGTCGTGTTGCAAATGGTGTTGTTAGCCCTGCAATCCTGATTCACCTTGCAATTCCGAAAAATTGAGATTCCTAAAAGAAACAATGGCAAGTCATTTACGCGAATTTTACCTTTCGTATAAATTACGTAAAGATGAAGAAAAATATCGCTTTACCTGTGCTTTTATCGCTATTGTGATGTAAGATGTTCATGCTGGAACAGTTTCTAATTTCTCCATCGTACTTGCACGTGCAAAATCCATTTTGACACGATACGGCTTTCAGGGTATTCGAAACATCGGTACAGTTTTGTAAACTTTGACAAGGAATCGGTGGATCTGTAACGAGAAATCTTCTCTCAACTTTCCTGAATTCTTTTCACTTTAAACTACGCGCTTCGACCTACGTACATACGAGTCATTATTGTCTAAAATTTACGCGAAATATCTTTGTCGACGGAAACGTTGAGCAATTGCGATGGAAACTTTAAATCTCTTTAGAGTATTGTCTACCACTTCGTCAACAACTTTTTCCGTATTCTCCAAGAGGACGTATTTATTTTGAAGCAGAGCCTGCCAGAGCGTTTATACACAGGCAATAGAAAGGAAGAGACTAGGTACGCGTACCTGCTCCGAAGTAAACGCGTTATGTCGGCGTGTCGGTTACTTTCAACCAACTGACGTTAAATTAATTACTCTGTATAATTTGTTTCAATTGCCCGGAAACTTTACAGCCGTGGCACGGTGTTGCGGGTATAAGGACACGACACGACTGGAAATATATTCTACGAAGTAAATACGACGTTCTTTCGATTAGGACGAAATCTCTCGGGCAAACTGTACGAATGATACGGCACGAATCGCGTTTAACGGTTTTCAACCAGTTTTTGTCCGCGTTTAATGGTATCTCGAGAGCAGCGCGTTTCGCGTATGCTTCGTTATATTCGTGATTAACTTAATTTACGGTAAATGCGAGCATCGCGACATACATAAACCGCGCGCGTGATTACGGATACAGAGGAACGTTTAAATGTACCGTACGATGTAAGTGCAGCGAACAATGCCACGGCAATAACGATACCGTTTTCAATGAATTGCAAATTAATCGCCAGACAAACTGCCGACTACCGTTTGCCGAAATAATCCTGTCTGCGAAATAGTCGCAACCACGAGCTACATTAAGATATCTGTCGATACGACGAAATTTCCAAGTATTAACCGGTGCTTACCAAATTGGCTGTTAACCGTTCGATTCAACGTAACGACGATCAGCAACAAATATAGGCATTTCTTCGTGCTGGCGAGAGCAAGCATCCTCGACGTTCGATGTTCGACGTTCGCAACGTGTTGCTACAGACTCGGTTACAATCTGCCAAAGATCGATTCGCGATCGAGCATCGATAGCACGCGACTGACGAACGCGAAGCCGCGTAGAACTACAATTAACCGCATTCTCCCACCATTCTGCTTTTCTTCTCTAGCTACCACGACTCGAACACCGTTTCGATCGCGTCTACTCACGAGTTTTGCCGATCCAACTGATAATTTTTCAATTGTTACGATCTCTTCTACCTTTCTTACGATGAAATCGGTGAAAAATTCAAGAAACGAACGATACATACCGTTCGTCGCCCAACCATCTGATTCATTCGGTTAGATATATCATAGATAAGTGGAAAGATAACGATTATCACGGAAGGGCGTGCATTGCGTAGCTTTCTAACGAGACATTACATCGTTCGTTGCTTCGTTCTCACGAATAACAAAATGAACGATCAAATTTTCAAGTTACTCTTATTGTTCGCGACTTTCCGATCGTTTTCGTGTTTAGAACGTGAGTATCGTGCAAGTGAAATGTCACGAATAAAACGTGTCGATATACTCGTGGACCAGATTCGATCCATAGGATACGTAGTGAAATAATCCATTTGTGTTTTATATATTCGTATATCACGTTTTTCCAGAAATCACCGAGTATGGAAAGGCAAAGATCGGCGAGAGATGCGAGAGGGATCGTAATTGCATTCAAAATGCGTACTGTCGTGCACAAATGACCTGTTTGTGCGATCAATATTATTCACCTACTTTTGACAATTCGATGTGCATCGCTAGTGAGTATCGCTTATGAAAAATCTCATGATAATGTTAACCATGAACACCATGAATAGAATCTGAAACAGCTAACGCGTGAGTGTTCAAAGATTCATTCGTTGATTTGCGATGTATAATAGGTGCCGGACTGAGTTGCTCCAACGACGTTGTCTGCAGCACGATGTCAAACGCAGTATGTAGGCAAGGAGTGTGCGCGTGCAAAGATTCTTACATTTTAGACATAAATAATTCTTCGAATTGTATCAGAAGTAAGTAATCATTGGGACTCGGTGAAATATCTATTCGTATTTTTGCTTACCGCGTATGACGCGTGAACGTTTCAGGGCCGTCTATAGTGGGCGATCCTTGTCAAAGGACCGACGAATGTCAAGATGCGTTCGATCGTGCCATGTGCATCAACGAACGTTGCGAATGCATCACGTTGTATCATTTTACGAATGAAACCAGAAAATGTATTCAATCACGATGTAAGTACCAATATTGTTCTCCGTGTTTCAAGTACGTATATGTATAACCGCATCGGGGCTACAAAAATGTTTAATAAATTGTTATACGCTTTTGCCAGTTTTATACAACACGTGTAAAATGGATTACGAGTGTATAAGCTTCGACAATGAAGATATCCTTGAATGTAGAAATGGCGAATGCGTTTGCAAAGAAGGACAGGGGACTTGTAGCAAAGGTTAATTAGAATTAATTGTACGACGCAATATAATTCAGTGAAACCATCTTTTCCAAGTCTTGTCTTTTTTCAGGTTCCACGCTCACCATTGGAATTCTTCTGATGCTTTTACCCTTTATACACAGACTGAATAAATCTTGTTAATTTTGGAATTACAAATCTTCGAAATAACAAATTATTTTCAATTCTTTTAGGAATATCAGCAGCGATTTGTGAATAACAAATTTAAAAATTATATTAAAATAAACAATTTTTAATTTATACGAAAAAAATCAATGAAAATAGTTCTCAATTGTACGAATATGTCAGTAGTACCCACTTGTAGTTGTAGTACCGTTAGACAAAATGATTCTATGAATATTATGATACGTATGGTCAATTCGGACAAATAAATACTCTATGGTTGCTAAAATTTTAACCTACGATTAATATGTTTGTATATTAATTTTTAATAATTGTTTCGCCATTATGCCAATAAATATTAAAATAATATCATTAATAAATCACTGTTTTAATTTTGACATAGCAACATCGAATATTTTTAACAAGCATCTGTGTAATATTAAATAACTTTCGATTTCACAAAACCAGACCGATCTCTGACTTTACGTTTTAATTTTTACCATTTACATACATATATTCATTTTCAGATTAGAATAATCGATTGACTAAACGATACTAATATTCCTTAATCTTTTTTTTTTCTTTTTCGTTGATTAACCAGTATAGGCAATTTATCATAAAACCTTAATTTACCTTATGTAAATTTGAAATAATTCAGATACATTACGAATGTTACACTTTCATGCATGTACGTTTTGAACAGTACGATAGTACATAATTGACTGCTGAGGTTATACAGAGCAAAATATAATCTACGATTTGACGCACGATAAAGATTTTAAACAACGAATGTAATTAATAGCGTTAAACGTGCTGATTTGTACATGGTCGAGAGGTAAATTTTATTTTACGAATAATATTAAGTTTACGCAGTTATATGTAGAAAATGCATGAAAAATAAGGTTATGTTATTTATTCGGTACTACATATGTATAATCGATTTAGAAAACCAGTTTCATTCGTAAAAGCATATTTATTGTAAGAATTTATTTGCAATTGTTTTTGTAATTTTATGTGATGTACGCTTTAATGCAAAAACTCGGTTTTATAAATCGACATGTAAGAAACAATATTTTAAAACAAAAATAACCAATTATCGTGTACTAATAAGATTAATTATCAAAATTTAGCATGTCGTGGTTTATGAATACAGTGCGCGCAACTAGTAATATTTGGGTGCCACAAGTGATACCTGTGAGATTTCGCTATCATGCTGACAAGGTAGCAAGGGGAACACTTTTAAGACGTTATGGCTATAAAGATCCTATAGATATGAAAGGATTGCTACCTCGCAATGAAGACAGAATATTACCCATGCCAATATATAGACCAAAGAATGCTTGGTCAGAAACCAAAGCATTATTTGGCCAGAATGATTATATCGATATCTTGGGTTCTGATAATCTTCATCCGACTAAAATTATGTATAATGTGCCGTCTTGGCTGAGAGGAGTAAGTGGAAATGAATATCAAGTATTGCTTAGAAAAAGGAAAATGTGGCAAAGTGGCATATTTCCAATAGCAAGGCCAACAAAATGGAAAGAACTACAAAAGAGAATAAAATACTTGTACAAGTACTTAAATAGAAAAACTAAAACTTTCACCGACAATACACAATAATGTACACTTTTATGAAAAATTATAATTGATGTATTATAGCAACACAAATGTGTCCTATCTTTATTTTCATAATATTCAAACTTTCAGATAATAACGATACATGTCATAACAGAATATAAAATAATAAATTTATTTATTGACAAATAACTTTGTTAGTCAGATATACGATTTTTATTTGCAGTTATGAAATAATGTAAATATTCTTTCCGCCTAAATTCTTGCTATCGAAGTCTATTGTAAAAATGTAGATGAGTACTCGCTTATATATACACACACAGTTAAGCATCGAATGATGATAGCTACGATATACACATATTTCTGGTGACAACTATGAGTATCTTGTAAGTACGATTAAAAAAAAAAAAAATTCTAAAAAAATTAATACAGATTTGATAATTCTTATGTATACATATATGTACAGAGAAACTGTGAGTATTGTCCATTTTCTTAGAAAAGTAACAATAAATCTTACAATTGTAAAACTCTATAATTACTTGTCAACGAGGTTGCAAATTGCGTTTGGTATAAGTTTCGCGATGGCTGTATGCCCGAATGTGTTGTCGTTAACGTTAATGTTTACGTACGTTCTTTCTCTACAGTTCTATAAACGGAAAAGAAATACTATTCTTCGTATATGTGTAAAATTTTTAAATATCTTTTATTGTAATTTTTTTGTAGTAAAATTATAATACTGTTGAAGTAGTGTTTGCGTAGTCTTCGTACAGAACGTAAGATTTACATTAGGCAACACCATCGCGAACGCAACGACACGGAAAATAATTTTTAATTCATTTAATCTATGTACATAAACGTAATGGCAGTCACTTAAATTGTTAAAATGTTTCAATCAGTATTTATCGGTGTAACTATATATGCGAATAAGAGTAATAAATTTATAAATGATTTTGTAAGAATGACAGTAGTGTAGTTTCGTAATGTTTACTAGCATCCAAACTTCTGAGACTATGTCTTTCATTGGGATAAACTTGCAGTTGATATGGTTTCCCACATTTGACAAGAGCATTGATCAATTGACTTGTGTGGAAAAAGTGTACATTTTCGTCTATAAGTCCATGAATGATCAATAATCTATTTTCTTCGTCGGGAAACTTATCCATATATGTTAAAATGGAACCGGACATGTATCCTTGAGGATTATTTTGTGGTAAATCCATATAACGTTCGGTATATCCAGTATCATAAAAATTCCAAGAAGTAACCGGTGCACCAGCGATTGCTAACTGAAAATTATACGTTTCGGTTTCGATTAATAATACGTACGGCAGTATTTATGATGCTTTTTTGTCTATTCGTATAATTTTCGGAAATGATGTAGATACCTTAAATATCTCTGGATACTGTATTAGGCCCATAAGACTTAGATATCCTCCGTAAGACCAACCATGAATCGCTACGCGATTTAAATCAATGTAACCAGTAGTATCCGCTAACCATTTTAGTACTTCAACTTGATCATTTAATTCAACAGTTCCCATTCTGTGTTGCAAGTGGCTTTCAAATACTAAGCCTCTGTGATGCGAGCCACGAGAATCGATTAATACTACGCAATAGCCTTGAGCAGCCAACATGTGCATCCTTAAATGCCTCATTCCCTAAAATATGTGTGACGAACATAAATTATTCGAAACGGGCAACATCTTATTTTTCACGTTGTATCTGGATTTCTTAAAATGCTTACTTTGAACGTATTTGATACTAACTGTACTTCAGGACCACCGTACACATTCAATATCGTGGGATATTTTACACCGGCTTGAAAGTTATGCGGTTTAAAGATCATTGAGTAAATAGTGTCGTTAGATGATATTTTATGAGTATAAATTTCCGGAGCAAATAATTCCGATTCGAGAGCGGATGGTTCTAATAAATAACCCACAGGAGTTAAAGAAATACTTTCCACCGTCCAATCTGATTGCGATATTTTAAATACCTAAAAGAACATTTGTCGTTAGAAAAATTTCTTTCGTATTTATTCTTGTTAAGGGATCGTACTTGACAAGTAGGTAGCGTTTTGATGGAGCTGTAAACTGTCACCAGCATTGTACATTCCTTATTAAAATAGATACTGTTGTGACTACAACCCGGCCTTGTGAGCAACCGTATTTCCAGTGGACGACGAAGCGATACAGCATAAACATGCTGTTCTAGTGGACCTTCGCGTAAACCACAAAAATAAACAATAGAATTGAGTTCGTCTACCCACAATTTTTTACCCAAGACTTCCCAATCTCCTTGGGTCAAAGCGACTTTAGAGGTAACTCGAGGTTGCAAAAAAATACTATCCATTTTATCCAACGGTTCTTCCACCTCGTTATTTAAACCTATAAAAAAATATAGAAAAAGAATAAAAATTATTATTTTAATATCAATATGTCATATGATATAATTGATAGCCACTAAGACTATCTGCTGCATTTTTACCCGCTATACTAGATGTAATGAGATACAGATGTCTATAATCAGATTCCTCGCTGCCCCAAAGGAATTTTACTTCCGTTGGATCATCGGATGGTAAAAAATAAAGAAGATCGTTAACATTGATCCAAATTGAACTTTGTTCAGAATATATTACTTGGACACTCGCCGACGACGGTGTAAAGTGATTTTCTGAATTATACACGTTAGGTGGTGGTTCGCAAAAATTGTCTATCGATAATAGAACTAACTCGAGTCTTTGCTGCTTTCTGTCCAGTAACTGGACCCAAACGCTATATTTATACAAAACTCTATTATAGAAGTGAATGTTGAAATACACACGGCAAATTCAGAACGTTTCTGACTTACTATTGTGCATCAGGAGTCCATCCTACTCTTACCATGTATTCCATCCATGGGAACATAATATGCAATGGATATTGAAGTTCTAATATTTCAATGTCAACAATTTGTAACGTTTCTGTTAATCGAAATTGCACCATCTTAAGGTTACTCCTCGCGTTAGGAGTACCAGCTCTAGGAAACCTAAATTCATCTATATCTTCGGAATTTGAAGTTGATGGAAAACAAAATATTTTCACATCACTTTCGTCGATCTCTTCATAGACTATTCTATAGGTACCGCCATTAGATTTCGGTTGCCACCAATAGCCGGTATATCTAAATAAGTACACTATATAATAGAAAATATACGAATAAATGTATACATTATTGTTACACTACAAACCTAGTAAATTCTTCTTGCATCACATAAGAAGGAGTTCCAGCAGTGAGCGGGTCATTTGCCAAACTTTTGCCACCTTTTCTTGCATGTGTTAATCTTACAGAAGAACCTGTGATGCTATGAGACAGGTACAAATCACCCGAGCATGTGTGAGCAATTAATGCGTTGTTCCATGGACAGATTTGTGGACATAATTTTGCACCTGACGTTGACATACGAATTTCAGATGGGAAAAGAGGTCCTGCCTAATATATGGATATCTTTATTGTTTTATTTTTAATTCAAAAAAAAATGAGAAATTAAATTAAATTAAAGAAAAAGCACCATAAATCCTGTGTCTATACATTGGTAAAGACTGCTCGCAGCTGGAAAAACTAATTTTCCACTATCCAGGTGAATCTCGTAACTAGTGATACCCCATGTAGCCAATCTTTTTCTTTCCCATAATAACTGTTCTTCTTTTGATAATCTTTTGGTACTTGACACTCTGTAAATAAATTTGTGCATATTACGGTATTAAGCTCAGATAATAAATATTTTTGTTTTCTTCGAGTAAAAGGTTGCATTACGTTTGAAAATTTGCCTCTATGATAGGTTGCCAATGAAGACAATAGCCATTAGCATGTTCCGAGTGTGCAATGTCTACAAATAGCAACGTAGTTTCCCATCTATTGCTTGGACTACTAAGAAAATAAATTCTGGTCCTGCAAAAAGAAATACGTGTAACAAAGAAAGACGTATACCATGAAACTGGAACATTTCAAGTGTAAGAGGGTTATGTTACTACATTAGAAGGCTTTCTCACCGTCCATCTGGTAAAGATCGAAATGTTATAGATCCAGGCACAGAGCCCACCGATACTCCAGACAATTTCCTACGTAGATCACTGACCACACTTCTCAATTCCGACCAACTTCTTTGCGTTACCGCGGTGTCAATTAGAATTCGGTCGCCTCCTTCGTTGCAAGTCTCCATATTTTCTCGTTCTTACCTCCAGTTCTGATAAGTCATTCATCAAGAAAACAACACTTTGAAAGGATCATGTCAAAAAATGTTTTTGAAAAGCGGTATCGCTTCGTTGTAAATTTCAGGAAATCTGCGACAACCGCGCATACAGCTTATTCTTAGGTTATGTCCGTGGACGGTTCTCACTTTCACCTTCTCCCCAAACACGGCCTCTCCCTTCTCTCAACGAGCCACGACATTAATTTTGCGAAATCGTAAGCGCAAGTCTCGATTCGTTTTACGCAAAACGGCTGCCAAATATTTTCAGCAGCCGATCACAAATTGGCTAACGCGACAATTCTGACCATTGGCAAACAACAAAGGTAGATGTCCATTGCCATAGAATAGTGACATGTGAAGTCAGATACAATGTGTCACGAATGCAGAGAAGATAACGAATCTTCTGTTTTTGTTGCCCTTCTTCTGACAGACTTCTTACTTCTTTTACCTTGACAGAAAGTAATGGTAAAAATAATTAAACAAAGACGGTCTATCGTCTCTTTTACTGAAATATTTTGTTTCTCATTAATCTTCGTCTTCCGAACGAAAAGCATTTCTTTTTCCTTACTCTTAATCACAACCGACACGCACAACGCGCGGATTCTTCGACGTCAGTGGTTCTCAATGGAAACCGCTGAAGTTAATCTTAGTAGGAATAACCGTTTACCATTCGATAAATATGTATCTCTTCGTTAACTACTATTATCGCGTAAGGACAACAAATCTTCCTATTACGCATTTTTCGTGTATTTTTTTCACGCTAGTTTGAATTGGCGTAAAACGAAATCGAGCGATATTTTGACGACAGTAAGTGGAAACATTTTTACAGTTTGCGTCCAACTCTCTCCGTTTCTCAGGACACGAATTACTGTTCTGGCGATCACGTACGTTCTGATATTAAATATTCAATGTTTACCTTCTCCGAGTCTCTGGCTTTTTTATTTTTACACCTACCTGAATAATTTTGTTACATCGGACCTTCTCATCCAAAGCTCGAAGCTTTACAAATGTTTAATCGTATTTTTTGAAACGAGTTGCTTAAGACCTGTTGAATATTTTAGCTTATCCTGCAGTAACACAAGTTTGTAACATCGTCGCTATGAAAACGCGTTCAAAAGACGCGATGACAAATGAAAAGCAAAAAATCCTTAGCGAAACATAATCGTACAACGTCAAAACTGTCGCGATTTCTCTTCTTATTTCATTTCAATTTCATAGTAAGTTAGTAATTATGCTTTACAGCCTAGTATCAGTTCTCTGTGGCAAATATATTGCAAGTAATCGCGCGTTTAATCTTGATCGATTACAGAAAGGAAAAGATGGTCGGTCGTTTGAGGGTACCGTGGTGCTACGAAATACGCCGCCCATACGAGAATTTACCAAAGTTCGATTTATATTCCGTGGAAAAAATTAAGAAGAATTGGTCGGTAAGACTACATATTAATTGTTTCACATAATCATTACGAATGCGATATCGATGATCGCGTTAAAGAAAAGAAGCCGAATAATTTTTAAACGCATTCGTAATAGGCCTAAAATAGGTTTGATCTGCTCGATCATAACAAACGTTGGGATGAAAATAATTAGTTTCTACGTAACACAGCTTAACACATATACGAATTCACTATACGAGTAATTGAATAATAGTAGTCCGTTCAAAGGTTAATATTTAATGATTCTTCGTAACTGTCACTTTTTAACACACAATGGATGCATTTATCAACCGTGATCGTTTTGCATTTTCGTTTTATTTGCGTAGAAGAAAAATGTTCGAATTATTCCGAGTATACGTTTTAAACGATCAAAGGAACTTGAATCTCATACCTGATGATACGTCGTGGTACGTTCTAATTATTTTTCGTTAATGAGCTACAACGAGTGCCTTCGATCATTGTTTCTTTTTCCCTCGTATTCGCGAAATTTAATCGCAATCGTAAGAACGACATTTAATCGTACAAGAAGAACTAAAAAATACGAACTCGAGTCTTATCGTATTTGCACGATACATATATTTTATTACATTACGCACAAGTACGTATCCGTTATCGCTATTTCGAAAAATATTTTTGTACGTTGGATCGGAAACTTATCACGTTGGAAACTGATAAATTTCAGCAAGATTGTCGGCTCGCGACTTTTTATTCACTTCAATTTCCGAAAAACCTGGCAGGATGTAGCATACTTCGATCGAGTTCCTCTTAGGTTCACGTACTTATATGCGTATCTGTGTATACGTACGTGTGCGTGTGCGTGTGCGTGTGCGTGTGCGTGTGCTTGTAAATACATACCCTTAATGTCCGATTCGTTTGTCGGAGCAAAATTTCTTTGCGTCTGCACGCACACAGAAACGCGAACACACTCTTCTCTTTTACTCGGCTTACGTGGCGAACCGCTAAAAGCTCGCGTAAATATGGAATGCATCGATTCGAATATTAAACAAGAGGTCGTTAGGGAACAACGCAAAAATCGACCGCGTAATTTCGATGAATACGTTCGACTGGAGAACGGCGAAGATAGCGACGTACATACACATATTGTGTCAGTTGGACTGAGATCTGTCTTAACTACAAAGCGATTGAAATTAGAAATACCATTTTGCGAAAGGAAACACGCGAGAGATTATGTTCCTGGACAATTAGAAGAAACGCGAAAAAGATCCTCGGATGGATCGGATTCGCATCGATTTCTAAAGCTAGCCGACAGCATTATCCACGTTGCAGAAACCACCGGAAAATCGACCATCCAACAAGCAGATAGCCACGTGATCGGTATCACAAGCACAGCGATAGCCAGATCTTTCGGCACTGATCGTTGATCGATCGATCGATCGATTTACAATCGCGAATACGAATCACGGCTTTCGCATACGATTATATATCTCCTTCGATTCGATTATATACGAGACAAAATTGATCTTACAGCTGAAACACGCGTTTGTCGTCGAGTTCGATTTAGAGAAGCGCTTGCCAACGATCGGAAGGGAAATTTCGGTATTTAATTTAATCGTGCGCGAGTAATCGCAGAGGTTAAAAGCGGAATTTTTATTTTTAGAAGATCGGCGAAGGTAACGGTGACTGCAGTCCTAACAAGCCGAAGATACGAGCCATTTCTTTGCTCCTTTTTCGTCGGCTATAAGAATTTTTGCGAGGTCAGATGTCGGGTGTATCTCGGAGATGGCCACCGCGTACAGGCAATTTTGCGCGTTTCTCCGTGTGCCTTTGCACTCGTTTCTTTCCTTTTTCCCGTTCGTGCCACCCTATCGACTTTTCTCTCGCACCCGTCTTCCTTCTTTTCAGTTATCGACTCGAGACCCGCGAAAGTTTCGCTGTTCGCGAGGTTTTTCAGCACACGCCGGTGCCATGGCGCTTTGCGCGCTAGAACAGAGGAAAAATAACCGGGAGAGAACGGAAGAGCCGACCGAGGAACCTAAGGGCATCAAAGATTTAAGCTCCACATCTCTTTACCCCGTCACTCGTCCTTTGCGCCGGTACTCGTGTAGAGTGTCTCTTGCCTACCTTTCTCTTCTCTTCTCTTACCCCCTTGTCACGACTCTGCCGAACGAGTCAACTATTTATCAGCAGTCTGAAACAAGTTACTGCGAATGTGTATTCCGTTGGAGCAATAGGGACGCGTCTAGGTCTCACGTTTCCCCATAAATGTTTGAAAAATACGACGACCAAGCCAGCGAGCTTCCGAAGAAATAAGTTCGAGGTCGTAGATCGAACGGAAAATTGGATTAATTCGGATGTCGGTTTCGATCCAGTGATTAATCGACTAGTTAACTAGCATCGGATAGCGCATGCACGACTAGAGAGAATGCACTTGTCAGAGCACGAGACGAACGAACTGTGGGTACTTGGCTCGTCCAACTTTTTCTCCCTATTCTTCTCTATTCTCTCGCCAACCCTCGTCGCTGCCCTCTTTGTTTCTTAAAGCTTCTTGCGACTCGTTACGAAATGCAGTCACCGATATCTCGTAACGCGGAAACGTGGGAAAAATGGGGAAAAGAAGTCTATGATAAGCTACTACGCGGATCAATGTTCGCGTCGAACGTGATTCGATCGCAGAGGATGAGGACGAAACGTCGCGGAATCTGCGACCGATGGTCTAGATCTGGCAACAAACGAACGATAAATCGCGCAAAGTGACTGTGGAAGGAAAGGGGTAGTAGGAGGGTGGCTAACCACCCTTATGAATTGCTCCACTTCCCCCTTAAGCTAATATCGTTCCGCAAACGGAGACTACTTACGGCCACTGATCCGTTTAAGTAATGCAATTTTATGCCTAGCTAAAGTACCGACAAACCGGGATAAAAATAGCGGCAGCGATCGACCGATCGGTGATATCGTTGCGGACATTATCTCGACGCGGACAAATCGGTTGCTACGCAGTCCTTGTTGGATCTTTGCGAGAGACGCGTTAACCTAATGGAATGTTCACTTACCTCTATCATTGCGATTTACGCAGTTACGACATCGAAACACGGTATCCCTCGTGGGACCACGGTGGTGGCCGCGGCGTTGGCCACATAGACGGCCCATATTTTCTAGCAGGCGGAAGATAAATAAATAAAAATCATTACCTACGATCGTGGGGTCGCGTGACCGCGTTTCGTGACGCGACTCCTTCTCTCCTCTTATGGGGAAACGAGAGTAAGAAATAAAAGGAGACGCTACGAACGGCACGACTGTTTTCCTCTTCTTTTAGCAGAAGAAGAATGTTACACGACAACTCGCTAATCTAACCTGGATTCGTCTCTTACGCGAGATTTCGATCAAGATACGTGGTAAATTGGGAAAGATTCATTTCTTTTTCTCTTTTTCCGGTTTTTCTGGTTTTTGTTCGTTACGGGGTTAAAAGGAGGGAAAGGGAATGGTATAAGACGCGATACACGGATAGGTTAGAGAGGGAGATAGACCGGTCCGAACCGGTGGCACGGAGGATGCGTATAAATGTCCTCTGCTCCCTCGGCTCGCATCTTTGGGGTGAAAATATGCCCGGTTGTCTCCTCGTATCGCCTCTCTCCGTGTTGTTACGATATCACGCGATGGAGTAGGATATAAAGGGGGAAGATATAAACGCGCGAGACGAACTTATGCTATCGAATAACGACGAGCATCGTTTTCCCGTCGGGCACGCCTTAGGCCTCTCGGGCTCCGGAGCGCAGTCGTTCCCTCTTACCCGTTTTCCTTTAAACCATTTCGATGCGAGACATTTTAGCGGGAAAACAATCGATAAGAGTCGCGAGCTTTTCCCCGACACGGTTGCACGGCGAAGCGAAGGATCCGGACAGGGAATA